GGGATTGCATGTTAAGAATGACAAAAGTAAAATTAGATTTATTAACAGATGTCGATCAATTATTGATGTTTGAATCTGGAATCAGAGGTGGATTATCTCAATGTAGTCAAAGATATTCAAAAGCAAATAATAAATACATGGGAGATAAATTTAAAAAAAAGGATGAATCAATATTTTTAGAATACTTGGATGCAAATAATCTTTATGGGTGGGCAATGAATAAATATTTACCTACTGGAGATTTCAAATGGGTTGATAATCTGAATGATTTTGATGTAATGAATATTTCTGATAAATCATGTAAAGGTTATATTTTAGAAGTCGATTTATCTTACCCTAAAGAACTCCATGACTACATTCAGATTTCCCTTTAGCACCAGAAAGACATTTTGATAACAAACAACTTTCAAAATTATTAACAACTTTGTATGATAAGAAAAAATATATAATACATTATGAAACACTAAAATTATATATTAATTTAGGTTTAAAGATAGAGAAAATTCATAGAGTATTAGAATTTAGTCAATCTCCTTGGTTAAAAGTTTATATTGATTTTAATACTAATCTTAGATCAGAAGCTAAGAATGAGTTTGAAAAAGAATTTTTCAAATTAATGAATAATAGTGTTTATGGACGTGCTATGATGAATGTTCAAAATCATGTTGATATAAAATTATGTTCTAATGCAGCCCAACTAGAAAACTTAATTACAAAACCAAATTTTGATCGAAGGACATATTTTACAGAAAATTTAGCTGCCGTACATATGAAAAGAACACAAATATTTTTCAAACAACCAATATATGTAGGAATGTGTATTTTAGATTTATCTAAAATGTTAATGTATGATTTTTATTATAATATTATAAAGAAAAAATATGTAAATAGAGTTAGATTGTTATATACAGATACAGATTCACTAATATTAGAAATAAAAACTAAAGATTTTTATCAAGATATGAAAATTATGTTAGATCATTTTGACACTTCAGATTATCCAAAAGATAATATTTATGGTTTACCTTTAGTTAACAAAAAAGTTTTAGGCAAGTTTAAAGATGAGTTAAATGGAAAAATAATGTCTGAATTTATAGGTTTAAGATCTAAATTATATTCTCATCGAATCTTAGATACTGAAAAAGAAATTAAAAAAGCTAAAGGTGTTAAAAAAAATGTTGTAGAAAATAAAATATGTTTTAATGATTTTGAAAAATGTTTACTAACAAAAGAATCAAAATATGTTAAACAAAATTTATTTAGAACTAAGAAACATGATATTTTTACTGTAGAACAAAACAAAAAAGCTTTAAGTGTTTATGATGATAAAAGATTTATTTTGGAAAATGGTATTGATACATTAGCTTGGGGACATTATAAAACAAACATAGATAGAAACTATTTTGTAAACCATCTCAATACACTGATTAGAAATCAAAATCAAAAAGATTAGAAAAATATTTTTAATAGAACAATGTTAAAAAAAAATTTTTTACTAATATAAATAATAGAAATGGAAAATTGTAAAAAACTTTTAGAAATGGAAAATTGTAAAAATCATTTAGATATGATCCAAAGGTATAAAAATATACTAAAAGAGTTATCAGAAATTGAATCATCTATGTATAGTTTAGAAACTCATGTATCATCTTTATATCAATCTTATGATAATAAGTATAGTTACAATCGTTACCAAAAAAATTTTAAAAAATTATTTGGTTATTTTAAGGAAATTCATAATGAATTAGCGAATCATATAATGAATAATTGGTTTCATAACTATATTTAATGTTCACTAGTTTGTTGTTAGACTTTTTTTTTTTAATAGAACAATTCTATTAAAAATTAAATTAATATGCCTAACTTACAAATATTCTATTACATTTCGATTTTAATTATTAATATCATAAGTATTATGAAAAATATTTTGGGGGTTTTTTGCATTTAATAAGTTTTGTGAAAAATGTTTTTATTATTATTGCATTTCGATTTTTATTTTTAATAATTAAGTTTTGCGGAAAATATTTTTATTATTATTGCATTTCATAAGTTTTGGGAAAAATGTTTTTATTATTATTGCATTTCAATTTTCTGATCTTTTTGCACATTGTTTTCTTTGTGATCTTTTACTGATATATTATGAGGTGCGCCAGGACTGGTATATATATACTACTTATACAAGCTTCATTTTCATATTGGTACATTATACCTATACCTCTGCTAAAAGTTATTATTTTTCTTTAAATTTCATAAAAACTGTATTCATAGAACCAAATTCATCAGCTATATAATATAAGACCTATACTATCATTTATGAAATTTAAAGAAAAATAAAAACTTTTAGCAAAGGTATCTATGAATGTAACAATATGAAAATGAAGCTTGTATATATTTTCAGTATTACAACTTTACTCTGTATTCTTAACCATTTTTGTTTCAGTGAATTATTTTCAACCATAATTGTCTCATCACATACATTACTTAAACCTGTCTATTTACCAAATGCACACTATCTGTATAGCTGTCATATTAAAATATTTAAGATTAGTGTTCATGTGATAACAAATATTATTATTATTATTATTATTATTATTATTAGATATTTTATAATAATAGACGTATGTCTATAATAAATGTAACTGGGTTCGCCCTTTTAAATTATACAAATAAATAAATAAATAAATAAATTATTATACAAATAAAATTTGTGTATTAATTATTTAGATTAAAGTCGAAACAGTAAAACTTATATTTATATATGTTTTGTAGACTGTTGAAATTATAAATTTTTGTGAAATTTTAAATAAGTATTTACTTTTTGTCTCATATTTTTATCAAGACCTGTATAGTAGCTGGTACCCAAATGTTTCGAGAAACAAATATGTTTATATTTACGATTAATATGCTGATATTTACGATCGAAATGATTATATTTATGACAACTAAAAAATATAATATTTATCATAATATGGTTACATCTAATATGATTTTTATTTGAAACCTGCTGATTTTTAATATGAATATGAAGTTTGTATATATTTTCATTGAAAATATGATATTATTATACAAAACTGTATAAGTACCCTTCAATTAATATTTAATTAGAGTAAAGTCGAATACAATAAAAGCTAGGTATATTATTTATATCAGCATTGCAGACTGTTGAAATTATACATTTTTGTATAGGTTTTTAATATTTAAGTATCGTCTTATTAATATAGTTTTATTAAGATCTGTATAGTGTCTATATGTATTGGAGTTTAAATATGTTTATATTTACGATCGAAATGGTGATATTTACAACGAATATAGAAATGTAATAGTATGAATATTGAATATATATATATATATAGATTGAAGAGAAGTAAGTCGACTATTTAGAACTGAAATATTCTGTTATAGTGTATAGTTGCATTTAATATCTAACGCGATATGATTGATGGCTGATTTACAAACTATAGTTATATGTTATTATTAAGAATTTCAATATTTTAGACATGATCTTGACATAGAAATTATATTTGTATAAGATTTTATCAAAATTATAATATTATTATCATAATTTGGGAGAAATTAGCATATTTTTACCGATTTTTTCAAATATATTCCCAAGCTTGTGATGGCAATATACAAGTGATTTCATCATTATTTTACAAAGTATATGGAATAATACATGAAAAGTATAAGTAATAAGCATCCATGTAGTATATAACTGTACAAATAATACATTGCTATAATGTTGTACAAAATAAATGCTGGGCTATGTGTATAAGATATGCATTAAAAGTAATTTAAATATATATGGTTTTCTATATAATATGAAATCATTAAGTGGAAAATTATCACCGCTTAACGTACCTACATTTTATTTTGTTTTTGCTAATATGTGATGAAGACAACAACTATATAATAGTATGCTTTTTATTATTAATACCATGGAATTTAAATATGAATTTGTTTCATCTTTGAAATAAATACGGGTTTTCATGTAATGCTTTTAAGAATTCTTAATATGATATTAATATGATATTCTAGACTTTAAGCTGTATTAGAATTGTGTGATAAATAGGTATGTGTAAATAGTACATGGGTTTATCTACTGAAAAGAAACAATCAAAAAAGTTCATATAATATTATATCAATAATATTATATGAACTTATAATTATATTATCAAATGCAACGATATGTATCGGCCGTTTAGACTCGTTATAATGGTGTTCATGCATTTAGATACACTTAATAACTAAACTGTATATATGCCTTTGATGGTAATTAGGTCGGGATATGATATTTTTTATAATATTACATGATTTTAATGAAATTATGATATTTTTCCCTATTTTTCACTAAAATATTGTAATGTTTCCATATGCTTTATTAAAATTATGATATTTTTACTTATTTTAGCAAGATTTTTGTATTTACACACAGACAGCTATGTTTATATCGAAATTAGTACATTTTAACGTATATTCATATTGATGAGTAAATTTTTAGATTTCAGCATAAATTCTACCTACGTATTTAACGGAAAAATGAGTAAATTATATATGAGTAGGTCCTATATTGCATTTAATTGCTGTACATTGGATAGCGTTGTATCAGTATGCATGGCTACGTTGTGATATATTTTATGTATCAACTGTTAATATATAATAATTAATAGTGTTGGCCAACGATATCGATAATTCGATACGATATCGATATCGTGGGTATTTTTTCAATAATTTCGATATCGATATCTACAAATAATTATCGGATGATTTTTACGGATGATTAAACACTAAACTGAGTAAACAGTATAAAATATCTGTCAGATATAATAAAGATAAAAACGTAGATTATGATACGAGGCGATATTAATATGTTCCAAAGAAATAACCACCACACCAAACAATTTAATCTAAATTCAGTATCGGTTGTTAACTCGCGGTGAGACGTTGTAATTATTTTCGTAATTATTACGTTCGTTATTAATTTTATTATTTATACAAATAAAATGAGTGAAAACTTTAAATTAGTACCGTTGTCTGGTGCTAGAAGTGATATATGGCAACATTTTGGTTTTAAAGTTAATGAAAAGGGGATTATATTAAATAAAAATCAAGTTTTTTGTAAAAAGTGCAAATGTGCTGTTGGTTATAGTGGAAATACGACTAATCTCAAATCACATTTTCAGCAATGTACAAGTACAAAACCAAGTACGTCTAACACTTTAATTCCATATTTTAAGCAAACTCCATCAAAATTATCAAACAAAACTAAACGAGCTAAGGAACTAACAAAAAGCCTAGTGAAATTTGTTATTAAAGATTTAAGACCTCTGAGTATTATAGAAGGGGAAGGTTTTCTTGAATTTATGGAAATAGCCGTACCTGAGTATTCTGTTCCTTGTAAACAAACAATAACAAGACTTGTTGAACAGACTGCACTAAATGAAAGAGAAATTTAAAATGTTTCTTAAAAAATATTTCACATGTTTGTATAACAATTGATTTTTGGACGTCACTGGCAAATCATAGTTATTTAGGTGTAACTTGTCATTATTTAGAAAAGTGGTGTTTACGTACACGCATTTTAGAAACAGTAGAAGTTCCTGAGTCCCATACTTCAATAAATATAGTCAACAATTTAAAATCTATTCTTAAATTTTGGAACATTGAAAATAAAGTTAGTGCTGTTGTATGTGATAATGCTGCGAATATGGTCAAAGCTATAAATTCCATGGATAAAACATATTTAGTTAGATGTACTGCTCACTCTATACAGTTATCTATAAATGCAGGGCTCCAAAATGATATGGTAAAAGAAATAATTAATAAACTGAGAAAAATAGTTGGACATTTTAATAGAAGTGCCTCTGCACAAAATTAACTTGAAAATGAACAAGAAAAGTGTGGCGAAAAAAAACATAAACTAGTTCAAGACTGCGTTACTCGTTGGAATTCGACATGTGACATGATTGATAGTGTCTTAAAATGTAAAAATTCAATTAATAATATTATTTCTAAAAACAAAAAAATAGATAAATGGTTTATATCTTCTGTTGAATTTAAAAATATGAAAGATTTATTGAAATTACTTGAACCGTTTAAAATTGTTACAGAAGTATTAGGTGGAGAAAACTACACAACCGCGTCAATAGCACACCGATTGATTAAAAGTCTTTTAAATACGTTAAAAGTTAGTGAAATAGACACTAATTTTTTAACTACGGTAAAAAAACTAAATTTAGATGACTTAAAATATCGAAGAGAAATGATGGGTTTAATATTAGCAAAATCATCAGCATTGGACCCTAGATTTCGAGAGTTAAAATTTCTATCTGAAGAAGAAAAAGTAACGGTTTGGAAACAACTTGAAAATGAGCTGAAAGAATTAATTACTGATCCAGAAATAGAAAATGAAGAAGAATTAATCTCTGAATCAATATTAGAAAATGAAGAACATTTTGAAACACACTCTCCTCCTCGTAAGAAATTACGATCATTAATGATAGATAGCGATGATGATGACGAAGACGATTATTCGGTAACTCAAAGTCCTACGATGAAACAACTTGAAGAGTATAAAAATTTGAAAATCAAAGTTCCCTACGATCAAGATCCTTTAAATTGGTGGAAAGAAAACGAATCTAAATACTCAGCTGTATCATTACTAGCCAAAAAATACTTAAGTATAGTGGCCTCTAGTGTTCCCTGTGAACGGTTATTTAGCGAAGCTGGAACAATCATTTCCAAGAAAAGAAATAGATTATCTCCTGAACGACTCAATCAACTGTTATTTTTGAATTCATATTTCAAATCGAACTCAAGTTCTGAAACATTGATGGAAAAACTGCTCGAAGAAGAAATTTTTTGATTAAATACATTGGATACTTTTCAGTTTATACAAAATAATTAAATAATATATAATTGTTAATTAATAATTAATTTACATTCATAATATAATATTAAAACAATATGTATTCTATACTTTTAATATACTTTCAATACACTCATAATATAATATGCATTCTATACTTTTAATGTTTTAAATTTGTAATATGCTTCGATATCGATATCGGTATTTATCCGATATCGCAATACGATATCGGAAAAAAAAATACGATATCGATATTGAAAATTATATCGTTGGCCAACACTAATAATTAATATATGTTTAAGAAATTAGGTATCAAATAAATTATATATCGAAAATATTTTATTTAAATTATTATTTGGAATAATAGATCAAGTCTATATGTATGCATGAATGCTGTTTAATTAAATATATATCTATGTAAGTATGTACCTATGTATGAATACTGTTTAATTATATAAGAATATGTAAGGTTATATACTAGTATGTGTGTATGTAAATATGTGTATGTCTATATGTAGGCGACTTATTGAGGTGTATATTTGAATGTTTATAATATGCTTATATATATATTTATGTAATCCATATAATATGTTTAGGTGTTTGTAATGTCAAATATACATATCGGTATATGATTTAATGTGGGTTTGCATATCGTACTATATTTCACATGTTCATGTAACTGTAGAAATAGGTGGTTTCTCGATTATAATATTTTTTACTTATTGTTTTATATACAGGGTGATTTTTTTATCGAAGAACACTCATTATTTCAAAAAGTATTAATGTTTAAGAAAATATTTTTTTACATAGTTTCAAGTTGTTAAAAAACAATATTTTTATTAAAAAATTATATTTTTAAATATTTTTTATCCTTTTAATTTTTTAATTTTTTTACTTTTTTGAATGACAACATCTAATTTTAATTTGATATTCAAAAACAGAATATTTTTTTGATTATTTTAATACATAAAAATTGAATTTAGGGCAAGTAGTTTATGAGTTATAAGTATTTAAAGTTTAGATAAGCGGAGTAGAGGACAAACATTTCGCGGGGTAACCCCGTACCACTCTACTCCGCTCATCTAAACTTTAAATACTTATAACTCATAAACTAATTGCCCTAAATTCAATTTTTATGTATCGAAATACCCAGAAAAATATTCTGTTTTTGAATATCAAATTAAAATTAGATGTTGTCATTCAAAAAAGTAAAAAAATTAAAAAATTAAAAGGATAAAAAATATTTAAAAATATAATTTTTTAATAAAAATATTGTTTTTTAACAACTTGAAACTATGTAAAAAAATATTTTCTTAAACATTAATACTTTTTGAAATAATGAGTGTTCTTCGATAAAAAAATCACCCTGTATATAATTCTCACTGCACTTGACGAATTATAGTACAATAATAACAGTAAGAGATTTATTTTTTCTCTTAAATACCTATAATCCATGTATGTATATATAAGCTATGATTTTAGTCTAATGTAATCTCATACAATATTTCAATGTATATATGATTGATTAAAAATATAAGTAAGTATCTGTAATATTATTCATGATAGGTTGGCCTAATAGTATTGTGTATATATATATATGTGCGGATGATGGCTGCACACGTAAAGCCGGTGACGAGTGTGCGTGTGTGTGAGTGCGCGCACGGACGGCGGCCGACACGCAACCCGTTCTGTTTGACGATACTTACGTCCTAGGTCGATAGCCCTGTGGGAAGGGATAAAAAGTGGACTGTATTTAGAATATGATGAATAGGAAGCTGGTTGAAAATAATATGATGATGAGTATAAGGTAACTCTAACAGACAACAATGTTTTTTGCTATAAGGTGTACAGAACAATTTATTGTAATGTTCTGCAGTAAACGTTACTTAAGCTAGGGTTAGTAGGTAACAGTAGTGCGCGATCACAAACGATCGCGTAAACAATAAATCAAGAGAAAAAAAAATTAATACAAATTACAAATACAAAGGTGATGTTTGTTGACAAATAAATCACGTGTGTACGACCTGATAAGTGATAACGACGGGTGATGATACCACGACGATGACGCTCCAGTTGACCCAATGCGACGTTGTAGTAGCTGCGGGCGGCAATCGGGGCTGGCGGCACTTTGCACTCTCGTCGACGTCGACGAATAGGTCGACGACACTGCGAACGTACGACCGGTGGTCGAACGGTTGAAGCGGAGGTATAAACCAAATATTGGGCGACGCGGACACGAACTCGTTTTTCTGCTCAAGGGGAGACTTCGAAACGGTCACGCGAAAAACATCAATTGTCGCGGCGTAGGGACGCGGCACAAACGACAACAAGTTACTTAAAACACGGTTCGCACTGCGTAGGACGGGCGGGCGGAACACGTGGGTGAGAGTCGAGCAGGGCTCGAAACGCACAGCGAGTCGGGCGAGCGACGAAAATACACAAAGTTGTGTTGGATCACGACACAGGCGGTCGAGCAATCCAAAATGTCGACACTACGCACGGCGTGACATGACAAAGAGCACGGGCGGCTCGAACGACAAACACGTGGGTAACGAGGGTAACACGCGGTCGGGGTCGCACAGCGAGAATCGGACGGGCGACGAAAAAACAAAACAACCGTATCGCGACACGAGAGGTCGAGACGATACAAAAATCGTGGGGACGACGCACGGTGCAACACGAGAGCATCGACGGCTCGGAACAAGACGGTAATGACGGCGACGGAGCACCGGTTCGCGACGGTAAAACAATGCGGATGTGCACGACGACTCAAAAACATGACCGATCGCCTAGACGGCTCCAAAACGACGAAAATATGGCGGCGGGTACAGCCAGCAGCGACTATACCGCAACGATACCGTCCCCTCTCCGGGGGTACAAAGTTCGCTGCCACATGGGCTGCCACACTACTCGGCGGCGGGGCGGCAGGGTGACAACATTGCGACATACGCGTATCAACCACGACCGCGCGAAATTTGATATGCCGACTGTGTACCCAACATTTCCTCCCCGCGTTGAAAGACCCAGGCGTCTTTCAAGAACTCATCTGACAGGAATATGGACGTTGAAGTCCAGATCGTACACATTACAACAATACGAGGCTATAGGTACATATATACATAGGTGGTATAATAATCATACATAAATAAATCATCACTAGACTAAATACATAATTTACATGAATGAGACTGATGCTCAAAAAAAAAAAAAAAAAGAAAAAAATAATTAAAATATTTTTACATAATGAGGACATTGGACATGAGGACAGGGATCAGGGCTCGACCGGTAAACGCACGAGTTTCACGACCGGGCGCTTGTAGATACCGTCCTGAGTGCGCACGGACACGACACGAACGACATCATCTGGTCCTGGATGGACCTCTGTGACGCGGCCGAGACGCCACTCGGTAGGTGGTCGAGACGGGGCTTCGACGATGACCATGTCGCCGACGGCGAGGTTCGGGGACGCTTTACACCATTTTTGTCGACCTTGCAGCGTGGATAGGTATTCGCGTGACCACCGTTTCCAATAGGACTGATGACATTGCCGAATGAGCTGCCAACGATTCAAACGGTTGATTTTGACTTCGGTGGTGTCAGGTTCAGGCACGGCGTGGATCGGCTGTCCGATCAAAAAATGTCCCGGCGTCAACGCATTTAGGTCGTGCGGGTCGGATGAACTCGGTGTAATCGGTCGGGAATTCAGAATGCCCTCGATGCGAGTGGTCAACGTATAGAATTCTTCGTATGTCAACACCTGCTGACCGATGACATGTTTGAGGTGAAATTTGACGCTCTTGATGCCGGCTTCCCAAATGCCACCGAAATGCGGCGCAGCAGGCGGGTTGAAATGCCATGTGCAGTTGAGGTGCGTCGAGAGACGGTCTTGGGCCTTGGCGTCGCGAAATAACAATTTTAATTGACGGGCGGCGCCGACGTAATTTGTGCCACAGTCCGAGTAGAGGTTGGACGGAATCCCACGGCGGGCGACGAACCGGTCCAAAGCCGCGAGGAAGGCGTCAGTGCTGAGATCGGACACGATTTCGAGGTGGACCGCCTTGACGGACATACAAATAAATAAGGCGAGGTAGACCTTGACCGAATGTGCATTCCGACGACGGTGTTCCTTAACGAGGAACGGCCCTCCGTAGTCCATACCGACGTGGGAAAACGGACGATGAGGTTGAACCCGGTAAGATGGTAGATCAGCCATCAACGGTTGAGGGCGGACAGCCTTATGGCGTGTGCACGGAACGCACGAGAAAATGACACGTCGAACTGCAGCGCGACCAGACAGTATCCAGTATTTTTGATTCAACATTGATAGTACCAACTTTGATCCGCCGTGCAGAAAGGACAAGTGGTAGTGTCGAATGACCAGGTCGGTGAGGTGCGAGGATCGCGGTAACAGAATCGGATGCTTCGCGTCGTAGCTGGCGTCGGAAAAACGCAGGCGACCTCCCACTCGTACAATGTTGTTGTCGTCGATATATGGTGCTAATTGTGCCAAAGATGGGGGGGTGATCGTAGACTTATTTTTTAACGTTTTAACCAGATCCGAAAAGTAATACTGTTGTGTCCGCTGTACGGCAATCGACAAGGACCTTTCTCGCTCGGAAAACGTGATAGGACCGACACGGATCGGTTGCCGTCGTAGACGATGAGATAAAAAACGAGAAACGTAAGACAATACTCGTAACATTTTTTCGAGCGACGAAAATTTACCGATGAAATCCAACGAAGACGGATGGACGTTGACGGCCAACGTTGCGACGACGTTAGGCCGAGTGTCCGGCAGCTGCTCCGGAGCGAGCGGAATAAATCTAGACGGTGGCCATTGGTCTTCAGGAATTCGTAGGAACTCCGGACCGTCCCAATAAATAGACGAGGACAACATTAATTTCGGCATGAGTCCACGAGAGGCGGGATCCGCGGGATTGTCGAGCGTTGATACGTAGCTCCATACGCAATCCGGTAGTAGCTGACGTATTTTGGCG